TAAAAATATTAATACTTCCTTAATATCTTCACATATCTAGTCAGTGTTCATATTTCCCTATATTGTTTCATACATGGTTTGTTCAAATCAGTAAAGATTTGTTCAGATTCAGTGCATCCAAACATACTGCATTTGGTGGTTTGACTCTAAATCTCATTTCTAGGTTTTTCTTGCTATTTTTCTTCATTAAAGTTTATTTGTTGAAGAAATGGATGTATACAGTTTTATCCCCTTTCCTGTGCACGCTTCTGTTACGTGATTTTTATTAGTTGTCACTCCTTAGTTTATGTCACTGAAAATGTATACACGCCTTTGGAGTCTGAAATTATTGGGTCAGCCAAAAAGTCTATTTAGTTTTTTTCCATAAAATAAAAGACTCTTTTCATTTTCACCAGTAACTTCATTTATTTGGATATTTTGAGTATGTCAGCTATCTCTCGCTACTGGCTTCTAGTGGGTAGAGGCTGGGGTGCTGCTAAACATCTTCCAGTGCATGAGACAGCCCCACAGCAAAGAATTATTTGGCTAAAATGTCAATAGTACCACGAAACTTTGCAAACCACTTTTGACACGATCGATCAGTCACAGCACCTTCTCCATACACTGCAAGAATCTTATTTTTGCATTTCAGTTGTTTTCACCTTTCTTGAAATAATAAAGCATAATATACTGAAAATGTTGCGTATCTTCTTCTATCTTCAGTATTAAAACAGCTGCACAAAAATTCTCCAATTTGGTAAGTGTTTTTTACATGTCTGCTGATATGACAGCTGTCACAATACAGTTTAACAAAATTGTTTCAAATGAAGTTAAAGACAGCTAAGCACTACTACAGCCATTGTATCGAGAAAACTAAATGAACTTTTTGTCCAACCCAATATATCATTGATAAAATTATTAGATAGTTTAGGACTTAAAAACTTGTCACTGGGAACCTCCCTTCATACTGACATAATTGTATCATTCAACTCCTGGGATATAATTTTGAGATCCAAACTTGGGAGAAGGCTTCTGAGTATTGTGGGAATTCCCAGTTTTATTACCACTTCATTTCAAGTTACTTGGAAAAGGTCTTTGAGTATTAGATATTACAGCAACAGACTCAACTGGGAAGTCTCTCTTTTGAGGCCAGGTGATTTGTTAGCTACACTATTTCAGCACTTGGTGTAATGATACTAAACTCTTATGTAGAGTTTTTATTGTTCAGGAACAACTTCATATACCAAATGAATATTTCAGGCGTAAGAATCTTAATTTTCCATGCTTAAGTTCTTTGGAAACTAAGTTAACCTCTGAGTAAGGACTAACAGTCAGGCTAGTTTTTCCTTCTGAGGTATACTTATAGGTTTGATTCCTTATTTTTATAGTACAGTCATGCACTGCATAACGACATCTCATTCAACAGCACACCACATATGCAACAGTGGTATAACATAAGCCTAAATTTATAGTAGGCTATACCATCTAGTTTTGTGTAAGTGTGCACCCTATGATGTTCACACAACAACAAGATTGCCTAATGATTGCCTTTCTTAAAATGTATCCCTGTCATTAAGCAGTGCATACTGCAAATTGATTAATACTTTTTTGAAAAAAAAGGAACATTAAACAACATGAATAGTCAAAATGGTATTCTTAGTTATTACTCTAGATGTTTAATAAAGCCTTTAGGGCATATTTCACTCTTTTTGTTTTTTAACTATTTAGTAAGTGAGATATATTCTTTCCCCACAGGTATCATTTAAAGGATGTGATTGTTGGAAAGATTTACTTCCTATTAGTAAGAATAAAAATCCAACATATGGAATTACAACTGATCAAAAAAGAGATCACAGGAATTGGTAAGTTGAAAGAATATTTGAATGAAAATTCCTGTTTTAGTTGAAATTTTAAAATCTTAAAATATTATTTAAACATAAATATTCACATTGGATACTAACTTTGGTACTTAATATTACTGGCAGTAAGTTACTCATTTATGTATTTTTAAAAATTGATTTTTGAATACAGTAGTTCTGTGTATATTGGGAGGATGCATTTTAAGACCCAGAGTGGATGCCTGAAACTATGGATAGTATTGAACTCTATATATACTTTGTTTTTTTCTATATATACAAACCTTTGGTAAAGTTTAATTTATAAATTAGGTGCAGTAAGAGGTTAATAATAATAATAAAATAGAACAGTTAAACAATATACTGTAATAAAAGTTAAGTGAATGTGGTCTCATTCTCGTTTAAAATATCTTTAAAAAAAGATTTTATTTATTTATCCTTAGAGAGGGGAAGGGAGAAAGAGAGGGGGAGAAACATCAATGTGTGATTGCTTCTACTGTGTACCTGGTCTGCAACCCAGGCATGTGCCCTGACTGGGAATTGAACTGATGACCCTTTGGTTCACAGGCTGGCACTCAATCCACTGACCCACACCAGCCAGGGCCTCTTTCAAAATATCTTATAGTACTGTACTCACCCTTCTTGTGATCATGTGAGGTAATACAATGCCTATGTGATGAGACGAAGTGAGGTGAATGATGTAAGGTTACTTAAATATGAGCACCACGACACTAACAGTAGATCTGATAACTGAGATGGCCACTATGTGAGGAGCAGGCAGCTTATACAGCATGGATACACTGGACAAAAGGATGATTCACACCTCAGACAGAATGGAGTGGGACGGCACGAGATTTCATCACGCTACACAGAACAGCAAGCAATTTAAAACTTATGAATTCTTTGTTTCTGGAATTTTCCAGTTAATATTTTTGGACCATGATTGACTATAGGTAATTGAAATCACAGATAAGGGGAGAGAACTACTATAGATAATAAATTCACTTGGTTCAGAATAAAGTGTAAGACATTATACAGTAAAAAGTGTCCTATTTCTGTACTCCAGCTCATATGTAATATAAGTTTTAAAATCCTCTATACTTCCTTTTTGTCTCATATGTTATTGAGGCAGCAGTAGTAGCAGCTGCTCTTTGGGTTAGGCTATGCTGCCTTAGGATGACAAGAAGGAGGATGCCAGAAAGTCAGCCAAGGAAGACAAAGACCCAGTGAATAAGTCTGGGGGCACAGCCAAAAAGAAGTGGTCCAAAGGCAAAGTTCAGGAGACGCTCAATAACCTAGTCTTTGTTTGACAAAGCAACATATAACAAACTCTGTAAGGAAGTTCCCAACTACAAGGGAACTTCCAGCTCCTTATAAGTTTTGTCAGAGACACAAAGATCCTCAGCTCCTTGGCCAGGGCAGCCCTTTAGGAAGCTCCTTAGTAAAGGACTTGCTCAACTACTTTCAAAGCACGGAGCTCAAGGAATTTACACCAGAAACACCAAAGGTGGGGATGTCCCAGCTGCTGGTGAAGATGCATGAACAAAAGGTCCCACCAGCTGTACATTTTGAAAAACAAAACTTCATTAAATAAAAAACCGTCTAGAGATTTATGCACAGATGTACAAGTATCTCTAGTTAAGTGGCTACTGACAATCAAATTTGCTTTTTCACTTAGAAATCTTATGGATCTTTTCGTATCAGTATGTAAGAAAGAACACTTATCTTTTTTTTAATAGTACTCTTGTTTTGTGTATGTAGTAGAATTTAACCACACTTACATCAGTGGACATACAGGTTGTTTCCAGAAGTCTTGTTATTACAAAAAGTGCTTCAGTTAATAATGACATTTTGCTGTGTGTGTGTGTGTGTGTGTGTGTGTGCGCGCAAGTTGAATTGCTGTTTCAAAGGGTACCTTCATTTTAAATTTTGATACATAATACCAGTGTGTCCTCTTTAGGGTTTGTAATAATTTTCACCTAACAGCAATGAATGTGGAAGAGGGCATCTTTTTCTCTGTTCTCACAAGCACAGGGTTATAAAACTTTTAGCTGATATGTTGGGTAGAGGGAAGAAGTTCCCCATAGTAGTTTGATTCTAGTTTTTTCATTCTGAGTGAGGGTGAGCATCTCTTCCTGTGTGTAAAAGCTATTTGCATATCTTTTCTGTAAATCGTCTATTCATATCCTTTGCCCCACTTTTATTGGATTATTAGGCTTTTATTTGTAGAAACTAAGAGAAATCAATCCCTTTTTCTGTTAAAACAACACAATTCCCCCCCGCCCCCCGCCATGGTTTTTCTTTTGTGGTTCTTGATATTTATGTAGTTTTTATTAGTTTTTCCTCTTATGGACTCTGGATTTTGTGCCAGAATTACAAAGTCCTTTTTCACATTGAGGTTCTAAGAATAATATTCTTTGCTTGAGTCTACTAAAATAATACATTATAGTTTGGGAATTTTGTTTAAATCATTTTGAATTTGTCCTGATGTAAGTAAGATAAGAGGTATGGATCCAACCTTACTCTTTCCAGATGGCTGACCAGTTGCCCCCAAATCATGTATTGGTTCATAAACTGCCTTCCCCCGCCCCCCGCCCCAAATCCTTATTGGGGATGTGTTTATTGATTTTAGAAAGAGAAAGAAACAGAGAAACATTGATCAGTTGCCTCCCATACATATCCTGACTGGGCACTGAACCTGCAGCCTTTCAGTGTATGGGATGATGCTCCAACCAACTGAGCCACCCAGCCAGGGCTATAAACTGCTTTTTAAAATTTTAATTAGTCTATAGATTTAGTTTGTCCCCTTAGCTTTGCTTTTGTTTTTGCTGAAAAGTAATTTTAGGCAGCATTTCTTGAGAATTTATAATTGGTAGTAATAATTACAAACATCTCTGATTTCCTAATCTCTGTATTTCACTTGCTAATAAAAGTTCAAGTGATTTAAAGATATTAAAACCAAACCTCAGGTTCCCATATGTTGTTTTTAAAAACTTGTTTATTGAAATCTTTTTTTCTGAGTATAAAAATTGTTTGATTCTAGAAAAATTTTAAATCTGTACTTACAATTTAGAATAGACTTCAGTCTTTACAACATTGGGATCATTACCATATGTTTTGATATACTTTTTTCACTTACCATATCGACTTTTTAAAAAATGTCTGGTACTCACTTTGGCAGTACATATACTAAAATTGGAACAATACAGAGAAGATTAACATGGCTTCTGTGCAAAGATGACAAACTTGTGAAGCGTTCCATACTTTTTCCCCTATAAATGTCTGATTTCAATAATTTTTTAGAGGGTGAATCCCCAAATTTAAAAGAACTATATGTCAATCAAATATTTACTTTATGTTAAAGTTAACTTTAACTGCAAGAGAAGACAGTGTGGGTGTTGCAGAGAAAACTAGCAAGTCAATGGTTGGTTCTGATGTGTATTGCTAGTTTCCAATTTGGTAACTAGAAGGAACTCTGTGAAGAAGGTTCTGTCATTGCAAATAATCTTTGGGAGGAAGGGAGTGAAACATTCAGTGAGTGTTAAGTATATTACGTGTAGATAATGAAATAGAAAAGAATGATTAACATTTTCACAAAATGGAAAAATAGTACTAAAATAATGTGGGAGGAAAATCGGGTAAAAGTATTAAGACTGGAAATTATATTCTGGAAATATTTAAATTAATATCATTTACATTATTACACTAGGACCCAGCACCACAACAGAAACAGAAACCATTGCTAAATATGAAATAATGGATGGTGCACCAGTCAAAGGTAACACATTTTTCACTTCTTTTTTTTGAATTCTAGATAGTGCAAATAGCAGTGTTCGTGGCGATTTGTTTGACAGTATTTATGCAGTGTGAGAATATTTGTGAATTTTGAAAACAATTCCTACAAGAGATGGCTTTTGAAAATCATCTTTGTATGTATACTGAGAAGACTGTATTTCCTAGTCTGAAATTAGGTTTGATTTTTTTTTTTTTACTCAGTTTAAATTTAGAAGATAATGTATCCCTTCTCTAGTTCTGAACTTAAAATATTTTGATTGTCTTCTGTTATGTAAATCTTTTTTATTCTTGCTGAACATAAGATGCAGTATAGGTGAGCATTAATTCCTTTGAGATTCCAGAGTCCTTATAGCCCCCAAGAAAATAAACAGTTCCATTACTAGATAATCTTCAGAGTGTAAAATAGTGAAGCCATTATTTATCATTTTAAATTTGTGTCTTTGTCTTTTTGTTATTGTTAGTAATTACTTCAAAAAGTAACTATCATTTTGAGTGCCAGTTACTCTCAGGTGCTCTGGAGTTCCCTACCACCGTTTAAGTTGGGTGGTGGTATCCCTTATTTTAAAGATGAAACCAAGATACAAAGAGGTTAAAAAACCTGTTAAAGGAGATACAGTGTAGGGGAGGCAGAATTTTTCTTTTACCCATCTTAGATTTTCACCTGGGACTGTTTAAACAAGATTAATAAGAGGAGAACAGTGTTTCTTTAATGCATGCAGTGGACATCTTGCAGGAGAAATCTCAACAAAAAAAAGTAACTCAAAGCGGTGGCTTAGAATTTTACCTTATATAGCATCTTCAAAAGAATAAATTTGGAGAGAAATAACTAGACCAAAAAAAAAAAAAGGAGTTTTGGCCTTCTATGGGTGGCAAACTGGGAAAGTAAACACAAGGGAGGGAACTAATGGAGTAAGGTTTGTTTGCAGATTCCTCTGGTGCCATCCCTGGGCTAGTCTTGTCACCAGTAAAAGGAGAATTTATGTCCCACCTTACGACAGAAAAGGGGCAGCTTTTTCTGCTTTAGCTGCTCCTTAGTTGCCTTTAGCTCAAAATAATTTTTATGTCTGAGGCATATTTTGTGGTGATATATTCTGGTTTCCTTCAGTAGCTAATGATTACAGAGTTGGAGTTTGAGCCCAGGCCTTTCTGACTCCAGGATCCATGTGTGTACTCTTAAGATATGCAATATTACTTTGTAAAATTCCAGCAGCCACAGTTTTTTATGTAAAGTGATGGGTCGTGTATCTCAGGAAATAGATATGCACAAGAAAAATGTTATATAAAAAGATTTCAAATGGAATATGCAAATAATTACCCTTAGGAAATCAGAAACAATGAGAATCTGAATGACAACCTTTTTGGTAATGAAAAACTGTCATCATCCTGCACGTTTGTTGTTTTGGATGTATTATTAATATTCAAGAATTTATACACATTAGAAATTACAGTGAACTTCATGAAAGGAGAAAATAATAAAACTACTAAAGAAGCACTTGTCTACTGGCAGTATTCTAAGCTTTTTACATCTAGTGTTAACCCATGCAGTCCTTACAAATTCTCTACAAGATGAGTGTTACTGGTAGTCTCCATTTCACAGATGAGGAACTTGAAAAACTTAAATGACATGGTCAAGATCACATAGCCAGTAAGTGATAGAGCTGGGATTAGAATCCAGGCATTCTGGCTCAAGGACAGTGGTTCTCATCTAGGGGCAATTTGGACCCCCACACTCACTCTACCCCCCGGGCATTTGGCAATGCCTGGAGACGTTTTTTGATTTTTACACTTGGGGAATGCTACTGGCATACAGAGGGTAGAGACCAGGGAAGATGCTAAACCTCTTACAGTGCCAGGACCTTACCCACAACAAAGAATTAACAAGCTCAAAATTTTAATAGTGCCAAGGCTGAGAAACACTATTTTAAGGTTTTAGTTACACTCCCTGCTCATGAGGAACTGAAGCACTAAATATCTTCTGTATAATGATTAGTGACTATATTTAAGTCTTTCAGAATTCAATGAAATTGCTTTTCTTTCAGGTGAATCAATTCCAATAAGACTATTTTTAGCAGGATATGACCCAACTCCAACAATGAGAGATGTGAACAAAAAATTTTCAGTAAGGTACTTTTTGAATCTAGTCCTTGTTGATGAAGAAGACAGAAGGTACTTCAAGCAGCAGGTATCATGCCACCCAAGCTTCTATTTTGTTCAATGAAAATTCTAAAAACACCTGAACAAACTCAATTTTCTAAGCTTTATTGTATTGAACAAGGGGGGTTACTAATAAGTGAAAACACTGAGAGTATGATAAGGAAGTAGGTATGAATGGAATTGTGTGGTGATAGATCTCCCAGTCATTCTGCATGACTCCAGAATGGGCTACAATTTAGCAGGGTTTTTATTTTTCTCTTGAACATATTTTTATAAAAATAATACCTGCTGTTTAAAAAAAAAAAAGGAAAGACAAAGAAAAATAAATCAGGCAATGAACAAACTGAAGTAAAAGTCATCGAAAATTCCACCTTCATTGTGATTAATTTTCCAGACAACATTGTGTGTGTTTTTAGGTCACATAATGCATGTGGTTCTTTACTCTTTCACTCAATAGTATTTTGAATATCTTTTATCATCAACAAATATGAATTTCCATTAACACTTTTTTTAATTACTGAATTAGTTTGATGGATTTGGGTGTTTCACTTTTTTCCTTATTCTATTATAATTGTCAATGAGATGAACCAAAAATATATCTATATAAAATGTTTACCCTAAAACTTGTTCTCATTTCAAAATCAATGCCTTCGGTGAATTTTGATGAAGATTGTAATTAGAATGATGGCTTTTTTGTTTTTGGTATTCTGAACCAGATTAATAAGTATTTGAATGTCAGTTGAGTGTTCAAAACTAATTAGAAATTATTCTGTGCTGAGTACTATGAAGAATACAAAAACTACCTTGTGTAAGTATGGATTGTCTTCAGAGTTCTCACATTGTGGAAAAAAAATTATATATGTTAAATGACAGAAAATTTAGTAGTTTGACCGTAATTTAGAAGATAAAATCATCCATTAATACTACCATATTCTGTGTAGTTAAACATAGGTAATTTATAACTTTAAAAAAGGAAGTTTACATTTCCAAATAAATTATGTATTACAGCCTTATTGAATAAGTATACTGCTTCCTATGGACATTCATTTGGATGTTTAAATTCTGATATGTTAAAAAAAAACACAAACCTGTGATGACTTTATGAAGCAGATAATTTTAGGAATTCAGAAGGGATCTCAGGATTGATTGGTTAGGGTCAACTTTAGATCAGCTGAGGAACAGAGTGTTAAAAGAGTATGTATATAAGGGAAGATGTAGGGCAAGCTTATTAGGAGTGTGTTGGAGACACAGAGTAACTCAGTTTGGCTGGTGAGGGGTGGGGGTTCCAAGGAGGGAAGGGAGTGAGTGATACTGGTACCTTGGATAAGGATTTTGGAGTGCCCTGAACGCCTGCTGGGAGGTTATCCTGTATGCATTGAGAACTAAGGAAGAGCAATCAAGCAGTGTTTTAATCTGGTAGTGATAGGAAGGATGGATTAAAAGGGGGCCTCAGGCAAGCCAGGCAGTTATCTACCAGGAAGGTATTTCAGTACCTAAGATTGAAGTGGCAAGGGCTTGAACTTGTATAAGGGCAGTAGAACAGCAAACCAAATGACAGATTTAGTCTTTAAATAAGTAACAGCTAGAATTTTGTGCCAGATTGGATTGGTGGTGGTGGTTGTGCGCATGCGTGCTTGTGGAGGGAAACCGAATTGGCAGAAAGGGCATTCCAGGATTAGAATTGGAAGAAAGTGGGTTAGTTGGGGCTTTAGTAGAGAAGAATTTCATTTTGTTTTAGTTAAAATTGAGGTGGCAGTATTTTCAATGTGAGAATTTAAGGTATAAATAATATAAGAACATTAATTTTTGATACCTTGGTGTTTTTTGTGTTTTTTTGGTAACTAGGAGATCATTTTATGGAGAAAAGCTCCTGAAAAACTGAGGAAACAGAGAACAAACTTCCACCAGCGATTTGAATCACCAGAATCACAGGCATCTGCTGAACAGCCTGAAATGTGAACTGAATAGGAGAAAGAAAAACAAAAAACTTATAAGCATTGAGATTAAGTTCGGCAGGTTAAAGATGGTTGCTGCATGTAGGGGGAAACACCAAAAGTCCATGTATAATAGTCTTCCTTTATCTTACAGTGCTGCATTTATTTTATGATATAACTAAATATTCTTCATGTACATACATTTAAAAAAAGTGCTTTCTTTGAAACACTGGAATTTTCTTAAGCTGCCGGTTTTCTTCTTTTTTTAACTTGCACACTTTGATTTGATAATACGCACTCATGTGCCTCAGTATAAACATTTTCATATGAGTCAGCTGGTATTTGTAATTTTGCTTTTTCTTCATAATGTTGCTTATAAATCCAC